TACGAGCATTTGTTGTTTTCCACCAAATTTGCAGTTAGTTATCACTACAGAACCAAATAATTCAAACCTGATTGTTGGATTTTGTTCCGGGGGGCTTTTGATGATTGGTTTTTGGTTTTTTGAGCAGAGTGTCTCTCTGTCGCCCAGGCTAGAGTGCAGTGGCACAACCTTGGTTCACTGCAACCTCCACCTACCTGGCTCGAGCTACCCTCCCACCTGTACCTTCTGAGTAGTTGGGACTACAGGTGTGCACCACCACACCCAGCTAACTTTTTTGTTTTTTTGTAGAGATGGGGTTTCACCATGTTGCCCAGCCTGGTATTAAACTGTTGGGCTCAAGTGATCCACCCTCCATGGCCTCCCAAAGTGCTGAGATTATAGGCATGAGCCACCACACCTGGCCAATTGTTGAATTTTGTAACTGAACTTACAGTAACATTTATAATAATGTCAGAGTGTTCACCTTCAAAGATTGAACTTCTAAAAGGTTTGCTTTGATTTCATGAGGAATCAAATCCACAAAAATAAAATCATTATAATTAACTTTTTTGATTTTTCTTTTTCTTTTTTTTTTTTTTTTTTTTTGAGACGGAGTTTCACTCTTGTTACCCAGGCTGGAGTGCAATGGCACGATCTTGGCTCACCGCAACCTCCGCCTCCTGGGTTCAAGCAATTCTCCTGCCTCAGCCTCCTGAGTAGCTGGGATTACAGGCACGCGCCACCATGCCCAGCTAATTTTTTGTATTTTTAGTAGAGACGGGGTTTCACCATGTTGACCAGGATGGTCTCGATCTCTTGACCTCGTGATCCACCCACCTCGGCCTCCCAAAGTGCTGGGATTACAGGCTTGAGCCACCGCGCCCGGCCCTAACTTTTTTGATTTTTCTATTTGAAGTATCTGAATACATTCATATAAAATTGACCTCATTTAACTATTTACAAATTATTTTTGCCCTAAGCCAACACATTAAAAGCTGCTCTTTGATTACAAAAAAAAAAAACCAACAACAACAACAACGTGTAGCTAGGCACAGCTGTGCACACCTGTAATCTCAGCTCTCGAGAGGGAGGCTGACGAGGAGGGTCACTTGAGCCCAGGAGTTCCAGTCCAGTCCAGGGCAACATAGCAACACCCCATCTCTAAACAAACAAACAAAACAAAAACAAAATGTAATAAAACAGTGAAACTAGAATGAAATTCATTTGATCTAAATGAAAAGTCATGCCCACACAATGATATATAAGTGGACCTTCTGTAGATTGTTGTCTTTGGACACAATATTTAAAAACTAACCATCACTTTTTGAAGTAGATTCTGATGTTCTTCCGCAGATGTACATCTTTTGGTTTTCACATGGTCATTTGAGACCAGGGTACCCATGAGGGCGGTAAATGTCAACCAACATTGCAAAAGTATCACATTCAATCATCTTTAAAAAACTGTACTGAACTGTACATGGGATACATGTTTTCCATTTTTTGGCTCTTCACAGCTCAAGTGAATTATTAAGCAAATAAGAAACTGATAACAAACAATGCAATAGTTACATAGTCACATCATATAATAAGTAATAAGGCTGGGTGCAGTGGCTTACACCTGTAATCCTAGCACTTTAGGAGGCTGAGGCATGTGGATCACCTGAGGTCAGGAGTTTGAGATCAGCCTGGCCAACATGGCGAAACCCTATCTCTGCTAAAAAGACAAAAATTAGCTGGACGTGGTGGGAGGCACCTATAATCCCAGCTCTTCCACCCAGCGGGTGGAGGTTGGAGTGAGCCAAGATCATGCCACTTCACTTCAGCCTGGGTGAAAGAACGAAACTTCGTCTCAAAAAATAAAGAAAGAAAAATAAAATAAAGTAACAAAATCACTGTTGCAAGAGAGTTCAAACTACTCTCAGCAGCACTGCTCAGCATCTAGTTCCCACACATGCATCGTGTACCCATAACCTAACCCATAATTTCCCACGTTTCTCACTGATCCTGTTGATTTGCAGCCTGGAAGTTTCACACATCCTACAGGCTAACACAGAAAGAAACTATTGCCTAACTGGCTGGAATGCTTAACAGCTGGCATGGGTTACAGGGATATGTTTTATTATGTTTTGACTGGAAGGCTCTCTGGTTGACTTTCGTACATAATCATATGTAAAAGTAAGCAGTCCATTCCCTGCACATGAACATATCACACACTACTAGCTAAGATTATGGCTGGATGCTGGAAGGATGAAATTACATGTACCTTGTGTGGAATCCACGCTACATCAGACGAGATCACGAACAACAGACATAAACTGGGACTTTGCTAGGCAAACCGATATATATGGTCACTGTATCTGTAATTGAGTTGCTGTTTTCAAAAGGGACTTGGCAACATTCTGTGGCATTTTCTTACCACATAACCACAGGACTGTACACAAAGGGCCCTAGCTTTCTCTCATGTCCTGCTGCCCTTTGTTCTTACCTCTATTATAAGACGTACCACATTTTTACTCAATTACCTGTTTATATACCTGTCATGCCCACAGCCTATAAATTGTTGAGGAAGATTGGGTCTTTTGGTTTTGTATACCTAGTGCTAGTGACAATTAAGACATGCTTAGGAACATAGAATCAGGGCATCTAGAATCTATGGTACAAAGAAAAAAATAATTTTTATTCAAAAAAAGAGAAATGCTTATAGGTGAATAAACAGATCAATACAAATGACCCAAATGAACTTAGACAATGAAGTTGATGTCTCTCTTAGACCACACTTTTCAAACTCTCTGAAGACATGGGATGGGATAGAAGTAGGAATTAGTAGGTGAGAACATGCTTGAACCTGCATTTTTTTTTTTTTGAGATGGAGTCTCACTACGTAGCCAGGCTGGAGTGCATGATCTTGGCTCACTGCAACCTTCGCCTCCTGGGTGCAAGTGATTCCCCTGCCTCAGCTTCCCAAGTAGTTGGCACTACAGGTGCGGGCCACCATGCTCAGCTAATTTTTTATACTTTCAGTACAGACAGGGTTTCACCATGTTGGCCAGGATGGTCTCAATCTCCTGACCTCATGATCTGCCCACCTCAGCCTCCCAAAGTGCTGGGATTACAGGGGCGAGCCACTGCACTTGGCCTGAAACTGCATTTTTAACAAGCCCCCTGGGTGATTCTGATGTCAGTGGCACATAGGACACACTGCCTTCAGTCATGAGCTCAGCCCAAAGTAGAGAGAAGGTGAAGTCTAACGTGCAGATACCAAAGGCAATTTCAATTTTGATCAAAATTCTTCTAACAACAGTGATTGAAGTCTTGGGAACAGCCAAAGTAAGCGGCTCTATAACATTTACAGAAGACGCTCCAGCGGAGGATTATTTCCCAAGGGAATAGAAGTGTACAAACGTACGTCAGCAGATGAAACCACCACACTCCACGGATGCTTTTACAGCCACCACAGTCCATGCTTAGAAACAGGTCTGGGTTTCTTTCAGGAGAACATGGTTTAGTCAGTAGTCAAGAGCTGAGAAAGAGTGGCTCCCTGTTTAGCATTCCAGCTTCCTACAAATAGTAGAACTTTATGGAAGTAAAAACTTCATTAAGCAATTTACTCTTTATGATTAGCTCTTTACAATTCTTTTTTTTTTTTTTGGCATCAGATTTAATTGGGATCTTTCATTCCTTTATCAAACATTTATTTAATACCTACTATGGGCCAGACACCAGACTCAATGCTAATGAAAACACGAATGAGGATGACACTGTTCTGCAGTACCCTGTAGAGTGGGAGAGACAAACGTGCCTCCTGTAGTGAAGCGGGAAGCGTGAGAATGCCGGCAAACTCAACAGGCTCCTCTCCGGGAACCACCCTCCGCCCTGTGCTTCCAATATTTCTGCAGCTCCCAAACCGACCAGGCTTCCTGGCTTGAGAACAGGCTCACAACGCCTTTGCTTTCCACCTCCTCCCACTTAACCAATTTCTCTTCCTTCCTTCCAGCTTCAGCTCTTTAGACGCAGTGCCGCAGTAACCCGATCGACATAAGCCAATCTTCACGCCAGGGTTATTTCCTTAGAATACACTCCTAGAAATAGAATTTCTGGGCCAAAATGTAGGCAAAATATTAAAGCATTAAATGCAGCCTCCTAGATTGCCAAAGAAGAAGTTAATGCAGCTATCTGCTCTGTACAAGAGTTCTCCTTTCTATTGCCTTTTCAAAGCTTGTCACTTTTTTTGTGAAATATGAACCAATTTTTAGATGAAAGTGGCATCTTGGTTTAATTTGCACTCCTTAGATTACTAGTAATTTAAATAAGGATATTTCCCAATAAAAGTTTTTAAAAACATATATCCTATGTTTATGACTGAATGCAACCACCATGATCATTTTGTTCTATTTTTTAAATGCTTTATATACATTGAATGTAGCTGAAGATACAGTATGCTTATAATTTGATAGTCTGCTCTTCTTTTTTCTTTTTTTTTTTCCTTTTTTAAGACAGAATCTTACTCACTGTATCTCGTAGGCTGGAGTGCAGTGGTGTGATCTCAGCTCACTATAACCTTCACCTCTCAGGTTCAAGCAATTTTCCTGCCTCAGCCTCCCAAGTAGCTGGGATTATAGGAATGCACCACCATGCCCAGCTACACTTTGTATTTTTTGTAGAAACAGGGTTTCACCACATTGACCAAGCTGGTCTTGAACTCCTGACCTCAAGTGAGCCACCCACCTGGACCTCCCAAAGTGTTGGGATTACAGGCATGAGCTACTGCACCCGGCCAGTATTCTGCTCTTTTTTAGCTTTATGAAAATACCATGATCCTTTCATTAGAATCTTTAAACCCATGATTTTTCATGGTTGTACACTAAAATAACACACACATACACACTTTTTTAAAAAAAGTATCATTTCTATTTCTATTTCCTCAAGAATGCAGAGGTTCTTTCATTCTCTACATTCTAAAGAAAACAGAAGAAGATAGATGATTTTTTTTCTCCATCATATCCCTTATCTTCTTCCCACAGGAACCACAAAGCCCCCAAACTGGCCCAATCCTATCTATGAGTTGGATAAAAAGGATCCAAGAAACAATGGCTTCCTCAATGAAGACTTAATCGTGTGGATGCGGACAGCTGCCTTCCCCACTTTCAAAAAACTGTACGGCCGACTCAATCAAACACACCATTTCATAGAAGGCTTGCCTGCTGGCAGTTACAGTTTCAACATAACCTATAATATCCTTTTATACCCCTTTCCTTTCTGGAGTTAGAAAACCTGGCTGTTGGTTGTTGAGTTATCTCATTCTATGCTTTTCCAGTCAAATCTGTATACCAAAAAAAAAAAAAAAAAAAAAAAATTCCATGAGAGATGATAAAATTCTCCTAGTCCTTCTCCACGGGACTCACAGATTAACAACAGAAAAGCATATGAATTTTATGCTTTTACATTTACATGTGATTCCTTACAAGAAAAATGGAGACTCAAAGACGTAACTAAAGTCTAAGTGCTCATACTAGGTTGAACAAAGAATGGCAATTGTAGAAATGTAACTAGGAAGATAAAGGTTAGTTTAGCAAGGTTTTTTTTTTTTTATAGATTTATCTCAATCTTGACCCTCTGTCTCTGGTGATAAGCATGTTTCTTTTCAGCTGGGCGCAATAGCTCGTGCCTGGAAACCCAACACTTTGAGAGGTTAAAGTGGGAGGACTGCATGAGCCCAGGAGTTCAAGACCAGCCCGGGCAACATAGTGAGACCCCTGTCTTTATAAAACAATTTTGTAAAATTAGCTGGGTGTGGTGGCACATACCTGTGGTCCCAGCTACTTGAAAGGCTGAGGTGGGAGGATCACTTGAGTCTTGGAGGTTCAGGCTGCAGGGATTGCACCACTGCACTCCAACTTAGGCAACAGAGCCAGACCCTGCCTCAAAAACAGTTTATTTTCTCCTGGTATAGAGCGGGCATCTTTCACATGAGAGTTTTATCTCCTGCCTTCAGGAAGAAAAGGGGAAGTCAGTAGCCTGCGCAACATGGTGAAACCCCATCTCTACAAAAAGTGCAAAAAGTTGGCTAGGCGTGGTGGTGAGTGCCTGTAGGTCCCAGCTACTTGGGAGGCTGAGGCAGGTGCATCTGTTGAGGCTGGGAGGTTGAGGCTGCAGTGAGACCTGACAGCACCACTAGCCTCCAGCCTGGGTGATAGAGTGAGCCCTTTCCAAAAAAAAAGAAAAAAAGAAAAGAGGCAGTCAGAGTGCCCTTTTTGCACTTACTGTTTTTTCAAGTGCCTTTAGCTCAAAACAATCAGTGTGCTGAAGTGGCTTATTTGGAGGCGGCACGTCCTGAGCCCCTCAGTGGTCATTCCATCCAAATACAGCTGTTTGTCTCTGTATTATATACCAAAATGCAGAGATTTAAATTTGTTTAGGAATAACTGTGAATGGGAGGGTCAGGTAAGAAGGTCTGGGTGTTTCTGGGAAGGACTATTTCTATTCCCTAAGAAAGGTTAAGTGACACTGGGCCTTGAGATCTGTTAAAAGACTGTGAGGGTAAGCATGCCAGAGAGAACGGGAGGAGACGGAGGACTATGAAAATAGAGGAGCCTGATAACTAAATCTAGACTGAACATTACTAAAACTGAGACTATAGAACCCTTTACTTTAGGGAAAAGTATCACAGACCACAGAAGCTCTGGACTTAAGGGACAGGTCCAGTTCATCCAAATCCGTGTGAGGTGTGTGACAAGCTCTGCACTGAAGACGCCCTGTTTCTCCCTCCCTGGAGAACAAAGCCAGCATGTGGGAGTTGGTGCCCTGATTAGGGATATATGGCCCAATGTAGAAAACACATGCTTAGTTTTATTTTTATTTACATATTTACTTTTGAGACAGGGTCTTGCTCTGTTGCCCAGGATGGAGTACACTGGGACAGTCACATCTCATTGCAGTCTTGACCTCCTGGATTCAAGTGATCTTCCTACCTCAGTCTCTCAAGTAGCTTGGACTACAGGCACTCACCACCATGCTCAGCTAATTATTTTCTTTGATTTTTAAAGATAGGTCTCCCTTGTTGCCCAGGTTGACACATGCTTTAATATGAGAGTCTGAATGTTTTCACTTAATTTAAAAATACAAATGTAACTCTTAATTTGAAAACAAACAGGACTTAACTTTAGCATGGCACCAAATACTATCTACATATTTAAATTACATAGAAATTATATATTTAAACACAATTTACACTAACTCTGGTCTTTAGATTTAATTTTTTTCTTTTTCTTTTTCTTTTTTTTTTTTTTGAGACAGAGTCTGGCTCTGTTGCCAGGCTCCAGGCTGGAGTGCAGTGGCACGATCTCAGCTCACCGCAACCTCTGCCTCTCCCGGGTTCCAGCAATTCTCCTGCCTCAGCCTCCTTAGTAGCTGGGACTACAGGCACACGCCACCACGCCCAGCTAATTTTTGTATTTTTTTGTAGAGACAGGGATTCACCATGTTGGCCAGGATGGTCTCGATCTCTTGACCTTGTGATCCACCTGCCTCAGCCTCCCAAAGTGCCGGGATTATGGGCGTGAGCCACCGCGCCCGGCCTAGATTTAATTTTAAAGTCTCCTCCTGACTTTCCCTGAGGTAGAATTCTCTGGAGGCAGAATCTTTCCAGGGCTTTTACACAACTTTGAAACTGCAGCCCGATTAGGGGGTCAAGCACCAGCACTGCTGTGCTGATCCTCCCAAGGCTCCTGGCTAGGAGTTGTTCACAGAATCTTCCATCTCCTTAGTTCCTTCACTTTTCAGGGAGGCTGAGTAAGAAATTCTAGAGAAGGAATGACCACATGTGCTCCACTTCCCTGCTCCATCTTTTCTTCCTTTCCGTCCTAGAAGAGGGCTGTGGACATCTCCATTCTGACAGGGAAGTGGGTGCATATCTCAGTCAGAAAGGCCCCCACTGAGGAGCCGCCACCTCTGCCTCTCAGCTTTTTCTCTCCTTTGGTTCACCGGCCAGGAGGAGGTATGCCTTCAGTTAGCAGGGTGTCTAATTCTATGAAAATGAAAGCCACAAAGTGCCTCTCTTGTGGAGCATTATAGGTATAGATCAAAGAGTAAACCCCTTGAATAAGAATTTTAGCAACCTCCTCCCTCCCTTAAAAAAATTTAAGCAGAGATTGAAAGTTACTTAAAACTGGTCTCTCAGGCTGGGTGCAGTGGCTCATGCCTGTAATCCCAGCACTTTGAGAGGCCGAGATGGGCGGATCATGAGGTCAGAAGATGGAGACCATCCTAGCCAACAGTGAAACCCCGTCCTACTAAAAATATATAAAAAATTAGCTGGGTGTGGTGGCATGTGCCTGTAGTCCCAGCTAATCGGGAGTTTCAGGCAGGAGAATTGCTCGAACCCGGGAGGCAGAGGTTGCAGTGAGCCAAGATCGTGCCACTGCAATCCAGCCTGGCAACAGAGTGAGACTCCGTCTCAAAAAACAAACAAACAAACAAAAAAACTGGTCTCTCAAGTTGGGCCTCTGATTCTGTCAATTTGGGGACTGCCTTGCCATTAAAGCAGTTACGGGTACATTCAAGGAGCAGGGAAAAAACTTCGTGCACTGCTATCCCACAAAGTACTACAAGGATTTTGGGGTTGGGAGGATGAGGAAGGGCGTCATGTTCCCAATAAGAGAGGCATTCTGTTTCTCCAATCTGGACATGCTCTTCCTGGGTGACTTCATTCACAGTCATGTCTTAATGCCGATCTCTCTCCAATCAAAACCTTCTGTGTACACAGAACTTCAGCCCTAAGCTTCAGGCCTGTACCTGCACTCGCTGGGTAGAGCTCTGGCGTGAGAATTATCCCACCACACTAAGAAAGTGCCTACCACTTAAGGCAAAGAAAGATGTTCTGTGTATGAGGAGAAGACCCTCTCATACAGAACTGAGGGAGGGAGAAAACAGGCAGATGGGTGGAGGTGGCACCCAAGGACCTGGAGACAGTGAGGAATTCTGATGGAAAAGAAAAGAGAGAACTAGTTTCCTAACAATTTCCCTTGTGCCTTTAAATAGCACGTTGCCAAATGACTTGAGGCCCTTTAATAGCTTTGCTGGGAAATGCCTCCGTCCTGTGCCGTTGCTATGAGAAGCCTTTCTTTGTTTATTAGTTTGGTTTACAAAAGGCACCAGATGTTTAAAAACCTCAGGCCACATATATAATCAAAATGACATCATCCAAATGCTAACGATAGCAAACCCACTTCAAACACTTGCTCCCCAGCAGTGGGGGATACTGGCCTTTCCAAAACCCAGAGGAACGTACCACCTTTAGTTTGACCACCAAAAATGTTTTGCGACCCTTCTGTTTGTTTGCTCCTCACTCCCCTTGTAGAATTTTCCCTGAGGTAGGAATGCAAACCTGAGCCTATTAAATAAAGGACTATAGCCTGCCCTGAGTCTCCTGATACCATATATAAAAATTTAGGTTTGTATTCTTTTAATTTCCTTGGGTTTGCCAAAGGAAATTAAATATATTTGCTCATTATTTCAGTTGTCTGTAAGTCACTCAGATCTGTGTCAGAATCTCTTTTGTAGCTTACTACTATGAGGAGGGAAGGCTTGTTTTTATTTTCATTCTGGCGAGATACGGAGTACCGCTTGGTAAAGATTAAGTTGCACAACATGAGTAAACATTTAACCTTTTTTTTTTACTTTGAGACAGGCGCCAGGCTGGAGTGCAGTGGTGCAATCTCGGCTCACTGCAACCTCCACTTCCTGGGTTCAAGCAATTCTCCTGCCTCAGCCTCCCAAGTAGCTAGGACCACAGGCACGCGCCACCACACCCAGCTAATGTTTGTATTTTTTAGTAGAGACGGGGTTTCACCATGGTCTCGATCTCTTAACCTCGTGATCCGCCCGCTCAGCCTCCCAAAGTGCTAGGATTACAGGAGTGATTAACCATTTTTTACCTGTAAAAAAAGAGCAAGTTTTCTACATGTCAACCTAATATTCAGTATATGCAATACTAAAAATGTGAAATGTTGAGACAGATCCTTAACAGGTCTTCTTAGATTTTCCAGTAACCAGGTTCCAGGGAGAAAAATCCGTTGTTCTTTCTACCCTGACGTGGTGTGGAGGGAACAGCCTTTTCTTAGGTCTTGCCTACACAGTGACAGGAGCTACGGCATTGTTGGCCGCCTTTGCCATGAAGGCAATTCACATGATGCTGAAAAACAAGCAAATGTCCTTCTTCCATCAATAAAGTCAAGCTTTAAAAAGAAAAGGAGGAAGCAAAAAAGGACAGTGAACAGAAACAAAGACCTCTGAAGGGCTTGAAATGCCTGGGATGTTTCAACAAGGGGAACTAGACTGACTGAACCAAAATCAATTTCAAATAGACAATGAAGAGAACTTTAGGGTTAAAAAGAAGACGGAGAAGAGGGGAGGCATAATTATATGTAGTAAAATGTCCTTGAAATGGGGAGAATAAATCACCCTTGAACTCTAGACCGATTCTCCAGTATTTATTTGAAGTCCTTGAGCCCAAAGGCAGGTGAACTCTGCGAGAGAGTGCATCACCGAAAAGAGCAGGCAACCTGGGGTATTGAAGATGAGGTAAGTCCTAACCATCGGATCAGGCTCCAATCATGAATCTTCACTATTTGCACATATACACTATGCAGCCACAAAAAACGATGAGGTCGTGTCCTTCGTAGGGACACGGATGAACTCAAGAGCAGAAAATCAAACACCGCATGTTCTCACTCATAGATGGGTGTTGAACAATAAGAACATATGGACACAGGGAGGGGAGCATCATAAACTGGGGTCCGTTGGGGGGAAATAGGGGAGGGACAGCAGGGGGCGGGGAGTTGGGGAGGGATAACATGGGGAGCAATGCCAGTATACAGGTGATGGGGAGGAAGGCAGCAAATCACACTGCCACGTGTGTACCTATGCAACAATCTTGCATGTTCGTCACATGTACCCCAAAACCTAAAATGCAATAAAATATATATTTAAAAAAAAAAAAAAAAAAAGAAATGTTCTAGGTTTTTTTCTTTTTTTTAGATGGAGTCTCACCCCATCACCCAGGTTGGAGTGCAGTGGCGTGGCGCAGTCTTGGCTCACAGCAACTTCCGCATCCCAGGCTCAAATGATCCTTCTGCTTCAGCCTCTCGATTAGCTGGGATTAAAGGAGTGTGCCACCACACCTGGCTAATTTTTGTTATTTTATTTTATTTATTTATTTATTTGAAAGGGAATCTAATTCTGTCACCCAGGCTCGAGTGGTATGATCTCGGCTCACTGCAACCTCCACCTCCTGGGTTCAAGCAATTCTCCTGACTCAGTCTCCCTAGTAAGTGGGACAATAGACGTGCGCCACCACACCTGGTTAATTTTTATCTTTTTAGTAGAGACAGGGTTTCACCATGTTGGCCAGGCTGCTCTCAAACTCCTGACCTCAGGTAATCCACCCACCTCACCCTCTGAAAGTGCTGGGATTACAGGCGTAAGCCACTGGGCCTGGCCTAATTCTTGTAATTTTAGTAGAAACAGAGTTTTACCATGTTGGCCAGGCTGGTCTCAAACTCCTGAGCTCAAGTGATCCACCTGCCTCCACCTTCGAAAGAGCTGGGATTGCAGGTGTGAGCCACTGCGCCCAGCCTGAAGTTGTTATAGCCATCCCAACAATTGTTGAACTAAGATAAGTTGATGATTTTTGAAAACTGAGTTTTTTCAACGTTTTCCCTTTTCTACAGAGTTAAATCTCATTTTCTCTGCTAAGAACAGACCAAACAAAGGTTATGGCAGTGTCCTGAGCACTCAAAATACAGCCATGCACCAAAAAGAAAGGCCAGAATCTTCCCTAAAGGTGTCCATTTGGCCAAGAGGGAAGCACTGAAAATGACTGATTGTCAAAAACTGTACTCAGCATGTTGAAGGCACAACAATTCTAGAACTTACATTGGGATGACATGTTCAAGAATACAAATGATGAAGTAGATTTATGATACCTGAGTTAATGTTTGGAGGAAGGTTCTCGGGGTCTCTCTTAAAAGGCTTTACTTCCTGCCAAAAGTCCCTACAGACTAGATGAATCTGTCGGGACATGACGTCCCACAGATTTGTGTACCTAGCTAACCATAATATTATGCTTTTTAAGACATTTTTACGTTAATTTTTTAGTCGATGGGAGAAGCTTTATTCTGATGCTTCTAGGAGCAGAATTGCCATTGCTGAACAAAAATACGTTATCAACACATGTTCATCTCTTTAGGCACCAAGAAAGGATTTATTTGTTGCAACTTTCTGCATTCGTGACTTAATTGAGTGCTTTTCTAAAAAGATAGTTTTAAGCACCAACTCTGAAATCTTAGAATCCTTCCCCTATCTCACCTTCCATCTGTAACCAGTTACCTCTGACCAGGTGTGAAGATAGAATAATTCCCCTCGTCCACTACCAATCGTGCCCACATCCTAATCCCCAGAATACGTAAATGTTGTATTAAATGCCCAAGGAGACTTTGCAGATATGATTAAGGACACTGCCATAAGGAGATGGTCCTGGGTGATTTGGGTGGGCCCACTGCAATCACAAGGGCCTTATAAAAGGGAGGCAGGAGATAAATGGAGTAGCAGGAGACACAGTAGCAGAAGCAGGAGGCTGAAGTGAGGCAAGGAAGTGGCCATGACCCAAAGAGTGTAAGTAGTCTCCAGAAGCTGAAAAAAGCAAGAAACGGATTCTTCCCTGAAGCCTTCAGGTGCTCTGCTGACACTATGACTTGATCTGCAGAGATGTAAGAGAATATATTTACCTTGTTTCAAACATGGAGTGTATGGTAATTTGTTACAATGGCGATAGAAAATGAACATATCAGAGGATGGCAATGTTTTGGTCATCTGTGTAATTGTTTCTGGAGCTTAGGTAACTCTATCCAGAGCAGAAAACTTGGAAGGGACAAGGCTCACATATAACCCAGGCCCACGGACTTACGATCCCGGGCTCATGGCCTCTGAGTTCACACACCTCAGTTATGGTGCTGGTTAGGAAAGGCATGAGCACATTTTTTACATATCAGCCTTGCTTGTCCAGCTTGTGGAATGCTGGATTAGTTAGGGTTCTACAGAGAAACAGAATCAATAAAGTGTGTACAGGTGTATGGACAGGTTAGATAGGTAGATGGATGGATGGACGGATGGATGGATAGATTGATTGATTTTAAGAAATTGTGGAGGCTGGCAAGTCTAAAATCTGACAGGAGAGGCCTCTCAGGAAAGAGTTGCAGTTCAAGTCCAAGGCAGTCTGCTGGACAAGCAGGAAGAGCCGATGTTGTAGATGAAGTCTACAGGCAGTCTGCAAGAGAGCTCCCTCTTGCTCTGAGGTCAGTCTTTTGCTCTATTTAGCCTTTCAGTGGATTAGATGAGTCCCACCCACATGACAGAGGGCCATCTACTTTACTTGAAGTCCACTGATTTAAGTGCAGATCTTGTCCAAAAATACCTTCACAGAAACATCCAGAATAATGTTTGACCAAATATCGGGGCGCCCCACGGCCCAGCCAAGTTGACATATAAAATTAACCATCACAACTGCCAGGAAGGCATCTGCATCCACCAAGTGGTCCAACATTTTCCCAACAAAGCATTTGCCATTTAACTTTATGCTAGAGTCAGCTGAACGAAAAGGACCTATACAAAAACCCGAGTCACGTCCAGAAGAAGCTAAACCCTTCAAGAAAAACGCATAGCCAGAATTTATGTCGGAACGGAGATTGTTCCACTCCTTTTTGCTGCTTCTCCACAAGTCAATGCATCCAAAGCAGTTTATCTTTGCAGGACTCCCACTCTGCTGTACAATCTGGCAGCCATATTCCTTAACCCCAATAGGGGAAAAGCATCGTCATTCACAATTCACTCCCCACCCACAATGGGAAGCTTGACTTTTCTGATTTTCTTTCTCTTCTCTTCCCCCCTCATCATCTTGCTATTGTCTCCTGCCTCCACTTTTATTTTTTTTGAGACCTCACTGTGTCACCCAGGATGGAGTGCAGTGGTGCGATCATAGCTCACTGCAGCTTTGACCTCCCAGACTCAAACAATCCTCTCACCTCAGCCTCCTGAGTAGCTGGGACTACAGGCATCCACCACCATACCCAGCTATTTTTTTCTTTAGTAGAGATTGGGTCTATGATGCTTAGGCTGGTCTCGAACTCCTGGGCTCAAGTGATCCTCCTGCCTTGACTTCCCAAACTGTTAGAATTACAGGTGTAAGCCACTGCACCGGGCCATCCCGCCACTTTTCTAATTCTTCATCCTTGTGCTTTTGTGAACTGGCTGGTGAAAATTTAGAAAAACTGAAAAAGAAGTGTTATTCTACTTTTTCTCCAACGCTCTGCAACAGTGCTGGGGATGGAGGGGATATAAAGTGAGTGTGAGACTGAGAGAGAACAACGAGAATTGATGCGAGACTCTGAGCGTGTAAGCGTGTGTGTGTGTCAGTGTGTGACTGTTTAGAAACTCATTGGGGTTTGAGGTGCTTTTATTTTGGTGTATATTTTAAGCGCAAGGGCAAAGGCAGCAAGCATAAAATGGGGTAGGATGAAATTATGGGTGAATGAAAGTGAAGACTTCACCTTTATTTGAAATTTACTTGCGAAAATCCCTACCTTGTGTGACAAGTTCACAATGTTGATACCAAAATGAGCCGCCTGAAGCCCGTGTTTCGAAGGCCCTAATCATTGCATACCCATCTTTGTGTCCTTTTGAATCCGCTTGCACTCGGCCCACACGGTTGTGCGGGATTCCCTGCCCTCACACACAGAGGTTTCCCTCGGTTTCCTGTATGTCAGCCTCCTCTCCCACCCTCCCCAGCAAAGACAGAAAAGGGAATGCCCTCGCAGGGCCGTAGCAGGCTTCCAACTCCCTCTGGGTTCTCCCAGAGCACCTAAGTCCATGCAGAGGTGTTCAAATTGAGAGAAACCTACTGATTTGGACAAAACAGTCTCTCCCCCAGCCTACAATAAGCTTTTCTGGATGCAGGCTGGGTTTTCATCTGGTTTGTTTCATGGTACAGGCTTTATTAACTAAATTTTAATACGAGAAAACCAGCTTCGGACAGCTGCTGCTGGTTTTCGTCTGTGATGTGTCCAACAGAATCGCACAGTGCCGTGGCCTGCGGTTGTCAACGCTGTCGTCTCTGGATGTTCATAAGTCATAGGACTGCACAGCAGATTTCTGCTGGCTTCTCCACTGGGTGAG